GTTTCCAGATGGATATGCGGAGCAAATCCATCTGGAGGAGTCAGGTTAGGGGTTATTATGTTTGGGCAAAAATGGCCGCTCCAGGAATCTGGATTGTTTTTTTTTACTATTAACGCTAAATTCATTAAATCACCACAAACGTATTACAGTAGCAGCCATTAAGAATGGCCCTTCCCAGTAAAAAGCAGCCGAATGGCAGCAAAATCCCCTCCAACTTCCAGCCACTGGCCTTTTCATGGGCTTCCATATTGTTTTACTCTGACTCTCTCTGAATTACAGAGTCTTAGAGTTTTAGATGTTTCAAAAAATTAATCGTATCGGACCGAACAAAGTCCCATCAAGGAAATTGGGGGATTTTTGAATTTCTACTACTGTAGTTTTAGGTATAGATAATGATCCATTGATTATTCCTTGCTGACCAGACTTTGCCTTTTTCAGCTCATTATCAGATAAATCTACAGTTTATTGGTAAAGATGATGTCTAACAGCTCTACCTCTAACAGACTTAATATTTTATTTAACTAAAACGGGTTCAGGTGACAGAAAAAAGTCAGAGATGCGGTAGAGTCATGGTGACTTTATTTTCCTTCTAGCTGGTGTTTTGTCCTGCAGGTTCAGTCCGAGTCCTTTGATTCGATCAGATGTCAAACGGCTCCGGCTGGATTCAAACCACTAGAGACGGCCTCATAACCCACAGACACCAAGGTGAGGACATCGCTCCGCCCGTCGTCCGCCTTGCTCTGCTCCGCCTGGGACTCCACGCCTTCCGAGGTTCCCGACTCCGTCCTCGTCTTCTTCCCGTCTCTGGCTCGCCCCTTGCTTTTCAAAAGGATCCTCCCCGTCTCCTTCACGCCTCCACAGATCCTGTGAGACCTCTCGCTGTCCGATGACCGTAGTTTGCGTTGGCGCCTCCGAATGCGACGGGACGAAGGCATAGCGGAGTCGCCAGGGTCTGAAGCCGCTGCGCCGGACAAAATGCGAATCTGCTGATCGATTACCGTTATGATCATGTCCAGCGCAACGTCCAGCATTCCGAGGCCGAGGCCGTGAGTGACGTTATCGAACGCGCCGCTGTTTGCTGGGTCCTTGAAACTTTTCCTCATGTCCTCCAGATGATTCCTGCGGGAAAGAGACCAAGTGTTTGACTGAGTGGCGAGTAATGGCGCTGATGTCTCACCGCTGAAGGCTCATCATACTTGGTTTCAATAATTTTGGACCAGTGTTGAACCGTATTGGTCTCAGGGAGGAGTTGTTTGGCCATGTTGCTGTAGTCGATGTAATCGTGGGAAAAATCTTTCATATCTTCACACAGAGCTCTGGTGTCACCTGGAAAAAGAACAATAGGAAAGAGAGAAATGATTTTAATGTCAAAACGTCGCCTTACTCTCAAATGTAAAGTCCCTTAAAAAGTAACACATTTGAACTTTTGTTGCGCCGATGCTATTTTTCGGCCCCTATAGCGATACCCGATGCCTGGCTGTACAGAATCGGCCCATACCGATACCATCTGTTTGAAATTGGTGTGTTTGTGTAAAATATGTAAAGTAATTACCATCATGGCTTTTTCAAGCTGCTGCCTGCCTTTGTGAAGCAGGAAAAAGACTTATGCTACGTTCACACCTAAAGCAGCAATAGCAGCTAAAACGCGCGTGCTGCTTCATTTCTTATACTTCTACAAGTTTGGTTCTGACGCGCGGCAGAAGCATCTTTGCTGCTCTAGCTGCGCGGTGGAAAAGTGGGTCTGATGCGCGTTTGAAACTAAAATAAATGTTCCTCGCTACAGTGAGAAATGAAAAAAATACCCCAACCAATCACAAA